ACCAACATCCCATTCTCAATTAACTAGGGAGGTAGGATCTTGGGATAGACACAAACCAATAGTATCTACACAAAGAACATATCCCTGCAGTACAGTCAATTCCTGGAGAGAACTTGGTACTGGTGACAGTGTTACTTACTACCTAAACTCAGAAGGATCATCATAGAAAAATAAATTAAATTTTGAAATAGAAAATGTTACAATATGAGCAAAATGCAATCTCAGAATGCAGTCCATCCAAAATGAGTCCAGGGGACATCAACGTAAAAGAAATTGGAAGTCACACCCCGAAATCTCTGAAATGATAGCAACTGAAATAAAGAAACAATGCCATCAGGCTATAAAGGAAATCAAATCAGAAATCATCTCTCAGGTAAAAAGAGAAATGGGCAATCATAATGAGAAGATTGTTCAGCAAATCCAGAAGAGACATAGATTTTTTAAAAATAAGGGAGCATAGGAAAATAAAGGAAACTTTGGATGAAGAATATAAGAAAGTATAAGAATACATGAAACAGATTTAAAAAGATATCAAAGAAATTAAAAATTCCTTTAAAATCTGGCAAACCTGTTTGAATGGAGCTGAAGATAGACTTTCAGGCCGTCAAGACAGCCTTGCAGCTAGCTGCCATGAAAGGGAAGTTCTCTTTAAAATAACATGGATCCTGTGGGGCGCAATGAAAGCAGTCCTTGGAAGAAAATTGATAGCAGTAAATTCTCACATCAGGAAAACAGAATGAGCACAAATAAGCAAACTTATATTGCACCTCAGACTTCTAAAAAGAGAAGAGTAAGTCAAGCCCGAAGCCCATAGAAAGCAGAAAATTATAAATATCAGAGCAGAAGTTAATACCATGGAGACTAAGAAAACAATAAAAGTATTAAAGAATTGAAGAGTTGGTTCATTGAAAGAATAAATGAAGTCAAAAAATCCCTAGCCAATCTTGTCAAAAATGAAAGAAAAAAATTCAAATTCACACAATTAGGAATGAAAAGGATGAAATCACTGAGGATCCTGTGGAAATTCAGAAGTTCATCAATGCCTACTTTGAAAATCTTTACTCATGTAGTATGAAAAACACAGAAGAAATGGACAGATTCCTAGATACATATATGTTACAAAACCTGAATCAAAAACATAAAAATTCTGAATAACCCAATATCATTTAATAAAACTAAAAACATGTTTAAAAACTTACCAACAAAAAAAGTTTAGGACCTGATGGATTTACAGCTGAATTCTAAAAAATAGAAAAAAATTAAAGAAAATTTAATGTCACTACTACTCAAATTCTTTCTTGAAATTGAAAGGGAAGCAATTCTGTTTAACTCATTCCTGGAGGTAAGTATTACCCTGATACTAAAACCAGAGAAAGACCAAACTAAAAAAGAGAACGATAGGCCAATCTCCCTATTGAACATAGATTTTAAAAAAATCTCAATAAAACAGAATGCAGAAAATCATCAGGAAGATTATACATGATGACCAAGTGGGGTTCATCCCAGGGATACAGGGATGGTTCGTCATATGCAAATAAACTTAATACAGCATAACAAAAGAGCCAATGACCAAGATCACATGACCATCTCAATAGCTTCAGAAAAAGCCTTTGATGAAGT